ACCCACACCCACACCCACCCACACCCACACCCACACCCCACACCCACCCACACATCCACACCCACACCCACACCCACACCCTCTTTATGAAGATGCCAAGCATTTGTAAATAATTGATCTATGCACAACCAAAATGAGAATTCGCCACATAATTGCATCTTTTTCTTGTGAATAATGATGAAAAAATTGCATACTTAACAGAAAATGGAAAAAGAAAAATGCCGAACTTTCATGCGATGTTCTCTTTTTTCTCTGTTTACGAAGCATATTATTTCATAAAACGACCTTTTTCTGTTCTCTTTATAAATCAAAACTTGCACAAACGGAATGCAAGCTAATGATGAATATGAAATAGGCAAGCTGAGAAGAAGAAAAAATGGTGTGGGTGTGGATGGGTGAGTGTTGATGAAGAGAAGACTAACATCCACATCTACTCAAAACAACACCCATATCCACAGCCTTTTTTAACAGAAGATACATGAAATACTGACATTCTATATGAATTTGCTATACAGAGCAATAAAAGTAATCCAAAGAAAAACTATTGATAAAACTATCAATGTCAGACAAAAATTTCACTGTAATTGAAAGGAATATTTTTATTTGATTTTAATCTATAGAATCCCAATGCAGCATTTCTATGTATTTAATTGTCTACTCTTTCTTTGAATGAAATACTAATTTATGATGCATGTCTATAAACAAAGAGGAAACAACAGATTTCAAATTTTTGTAATGTGAAATTTTTTTCAGAGTATTCATGGATTTCACACAACTCTAGACTATTTCTGAATTTTCCTAAATTGATCGCAAAATCAGATATTCTCTGGTGTCCTCTAAGTTTCTGCAGCACTTCTACGAAGACTTTCTGTTTTTAGAGTTTCAGAAAATATAGTTGATAAAAATGTGAGTTTTTAATTTTCTAAGCAAACAACTAAACAAGCGATATGTGCATAGTAAATATCTCTAATACCTTTGCATATAGATGCACTGCGTTCGAACTTTATATATGAAAATAAAATTATTTTAATAGATGCAGAATTCTTTTATCATGAATATTAATATGTTTATGCATTAAAATCAATGACAATTTCTTCATTATTAAATAATGACAATATACTTGTAAGTACTTATTCCACTATCGAAAATCAATCAATTCATTTTCAAATATTGATGCCAGTACAAGTAGGAATATCAGAAGATAAGAAATAAATAGAAATAGAGCTCTTTAACAATTATTACATTTAACAGATAAATCAGCTAATGTGTATCGTTTTCTTCTTCACCATCGCTATAATGCACCGTTGTCATGAGTGTTTGACTGTTTCTACGTATAAAAATGATCGAAAAATTGTATGATTAAAGAGATTTGAAAGAAGAGGAGAAAAAAGGCAAGATTGACTGAAATGAAACAGAATGCGTTACTATACAGAAAAAATAACAAGCAAATCGTTTGAAAAAGCAAAAAAGAACAAGCAAATAGTCACAGCCTCAAGCAATTTCAATCAACAGAGACATCTTGAAGCTATCAAAAAAAAAACAATTAATTTTCCATTTTTTGATCGTGGTGAGTAAATTATTCAAAAGTTTCAGCAAATGAAAGAAATCATTTTGAGTTTTATATAAATCTTCAGCTTCGTTAATCTATGTCGTCTATTAGTTACGTACACGTACTACCCATCAATCACTTATGTGAATACTTCTTTCATATTTTCATCTTTTATGCTTATTGACTGTATATAAGATGAATAGTTTGGAGCTTTATGTCTTTCTTTTTAGTGCATCAATTTAAGATCTTGAACATCTGAATAGCCTTATAAGTCAGATTCAAAGAATGTCAGTTCCATGATGATATTTTGAGATCAAAGTTGCTTGTTAAAATGTTTTAATATAGTAAGTACTTGTTCAAATGAGAAGGAAAAATAAATCAATCAAATGAGTATCAGTATAAGTGACGAGAGGATGTGCCATGTACTAGAAGAGAAGCATTATATCAAAGCCTTCACTGAATTTACGTCTATGATTGTATGAAGCATCGAAAATATTTTACTCTTCAATGAATGTTTGCCAGAATTATGGAATGTGTTTCTCCATCGTTAAAGGAAATTCACAACTGATTGCATGGTTTTGGGTATAGAAACAGATTAATAAGATTAATCTGTACGACAATGATGATGAAGAAGAATAGGTATTGAATTAGAATAACTAAGAAATTATAATCACAAACTTTTAAGAAACTTCGATACATACAGCTATAGACTCTCTTCAACAAATACACTAGTTTTGAGCCTTAGTCATCCAGCAGTATTTGTGTTTTATATGGAGTAGCATAGAAAAAAAGACAACCTCAATATATTTTTAACACATTTTTTTTGCTTAGATGAACATGTAAGCCCGATTACGGATGTGGAATAATCTGAATATCACTCTTCTCGTCCAACATTTTGCTTACGATTACATACACTCTAACTCTAATGAATATGCCTGTTTCCATTAATATCTTTGTATATAGCTAGAACTATACCCTCAATGTAAAAAAACTTTTTCTATTGACATTAGAATTTCCCATGTAAATAATTTTTGAATCAAATCGCGTCTAAATCGCGTTTTGCTTGCGTGCAAATCGAAACAGTCGAGCGCGTCTAGACGCAGCTCAGATGAAACATTTCTTGCTTTTAGATGCGGTTCGACATTAATTCTCGTTCAGACGCGATTTCTGACAAGGTCGTCTCCAAATGCGATTCAAAGTAAAGTCGCATCTCGACGCGTTCGAACCTATATTTCAAATTTTAAAAATGTATTACGATCCACCTCAGGTTTGATCTGAGTCTCCATCAATATTGCCTATTGATGATCTTTACCTAACTATAGGCTAACGGAAAGTTCGAATTTTGATGTTTCTGAAATAATAGAAATGAGATTAGAACAAGTGATCTAGCGATTAGAAAGCAAGTGTACATACCATTGAGCCACATGTGGTCACATTAGTTATCAACCGAAACAGACTCTGTATATGAATGATTTATTAGACACTTATTTACAAATGCATGAATAGTTAAAATTGTGTAGATGTTTGAGGAAAAATTAAAATTCAGAAAAATTTGACATTATTGGAGAAAAAAATTGCACTTTTATTTTTTCTTAAGAATGATTTTAAATGTTTCGATAGGAACAATAAAATTTAACTCTTTCTAAGAAAATTTTAAATTTTCCTGAATTTTAATTTTTCTTCCAAGATATGTACAACATTTAAATTATTATCACATACCACAACATCTATACTCATCCAAGAAAATGATGCATAAAACAAATTCAGTGCCATAATTTTTAAAATTACTTATGATGACAACTATTATTTAAAAAAATATTGTTCATGTGTTTTTTTGAAAATTTCATTAATTTCAATTTCAGAGTACCTATTTTGCAAAATTAATGTCTCCAGTATTTTATTAAAAATTAGATTTATTCTTTCATGATGAAAAATTTGAAAATTCTTGAGACATAGCATTTTTGAAAGTCGATTGATTTGATAGAAATATTGATATGTGTTTCCTAGCCAGTAAAAAGATATCGTATGAAAATTTTTTGTATTAATAATTTTCTAAACAAGTTTCGTTTATATCTTATTTGAACTTCGTTTAGACGCGATTTGTACAAAATCGCATTGAGACGTAACTTTTAATGGTTTTTCACCGCGCCTAGACGTGTTTCACAACAAAAACGCGTTTAAACGCACAAATCTTGCGTTTCGCGTTTACATGGGTTTTTTCAATTTTTGCTATTAAATGCTGCAATATGAATCGATTGTGTCCATTTACTAACAATCATTGGCAAGTGCATTGATAAGCTTCTTTCCGCATTCTCATTATGAAAAAATTTAATTTATTAATATTTTCGATGTGTTTCTTTAAATTACTCAGTCGTGATCAAAGTATTGACAAGTCTAGTGGTATGAATTTCTTTTTAATTGAATATGTTTATGACTTGTAATCAGATATCTTTAATCATTCTTAATTATTAAAACAAGAACGAGTATGAATAGGTAAATATAGTTATATTTCATTTAGCAGCATCTAGACACATTACCTACTTTTTAATGTATGCCTACAACACAATGAAGATACTCGGAAAAGAACTAAGATATGTAGTTGTAGCTTAAATCTGTTTCTTACACTATTTTCGGAAAATATCTAAAAATGTAGCATGATTGTTTGATCATTCATTTCCGCATTGACTTTCTGGATCTCTATTTTGTAGATGGTGTGAATTGGAAAATTTTTATACTTGAGTATTTCATATCGCGAAAGAAAAATGTTGTAGGCATAGTGACAACACATTATCACTAACTTTTTAGTTCTAATTTCAATTTGTTATTTCTAGTGGCTTTTTATTGCAAAGAAACTACATTTCGTTCTTCTTTCTCAAGACGTTTTGACAATAGAATATTAGTAAGTCTAGCTGCAAAGTACAGTCCTGGAAAAAAATTCTGGGACACTTGAGAATGTTTGTGCAAAACGTTATACTTCGCTCGAGTTAAACTTTATATATATGGTAAGCGTAGTTATTGCTCAAGCTTTTATATTATGTCCTGCAAACCCAAAAGTGTGCGTTTATATGACATTATATGAAAGCTTGAGCAATAACTACGCTTATTATTTATATAAAATTTAACTCGAACGAAGTATAAAATTTTCCACAAACATTCTCAAGTGTCCCAGAATTTTTTGCCAGGACTGTACATGCCATTTTACAATTGATAATCAAAGATTACATTTTGTTTAAGTTCTATACTGAACTGCTGACAAACTCTTACTTCAAGCTTCATGTTAACATCTGAAGCAGTTTCATCAGAAGATTTATTAAAATGGAATGGAAAAAATCAAGAAAGTATTCAACAGCAATTGATTTTTGATCGTAGTTGCGTTAATCTTGAATCAAATCAAATAGTCTGGTTAAATTCAAACAATAAAAACATTGAATCTATAACTAAGAATTTTCGTCTTCTTGTTGATTATATAAAACAGTTAAGTTATGTTGCAGATTACTATGATTATATACAACGGACTCAAGATATCGGAACGATCCTAGTTTGTTCTGGACCATCCAGTGAATCAATTATTCCTCAAGTCCATGACTTGAAACATCTTTGGTCTATCTACATCGAGCATTATCATCCTTGTGACAAAAAACAAAACTATGATGAAAACGTATATAAAAATTACAAGAAGGTAATTTATATTTATTCTATTCCATTCAAAATTGTTTGACGGATTATTTTGTCAATGAGGCAGTGTTTTTATTCCTAAAATGTATTTATCAATCAAAATTGAACTAATTTTCAATGCCCATTTTCAAAATCTTTTGTAGTAGCTTAATTATAAAACTGGAAGTAATAGTGTGCAGCAATGCTGATGAAAGCGAGCAGAAGATAGTAGACATCAACATATAGAACATTACGACATACTTCTCACTTGCCATGCATTCTAAATTCAGTTATTCACGTCCTTGAAAATTTCTGAACTAAGTTTTAAATATTGCTTGTGTATCGATATAAATAGTTAAATACATTTTATCATTTTTATTCTAATGGCATGTGTTATTTTGAAATATTCATATGTACTTCTAGTACTAATTCAATGAAATAAATCTTTGTTTTTAAAGTCGTTTCTATCTGTTCAATGTTTTGAGTCTTGTTATGTAGGTACGACGATTATCTGTTAATACATTTGACAGTATATATACTGAGCTTAAACAAAATATTGAAGAAATTAAGAAATATGAAAAGAGTACAACAATAATCAGTAACCTTAGCAAAACAGATTTTACTACAAATGTTCTGCCAATGTCGAATTGGACATCGTTTATTGGTCTTCTATGTAACTTACCTTATGATAAAAAAACGTCGTCAACAACTAATCAGTCTGATGAAAGATTATTACCAGGGAAATATGAATGAGTTAAGGAAAATTGAAGAGTTTGAGAATAATTATCAATCAAATCAAGCAATTTAGTGGTATACACGTGATAGTTTTATCTATCGTATATTGAATAAAGCTCTACGTCAAAATAACATTGAATTATTGTTTTTATTTGGATTTTTCGTACAAGACATGTATCGACAACTCAAAGATATATATGAACTAGATAAAAAACGTTATACTAATGAGAATCAAGTAGTTATGGTATATCGTGGACAACTCATGTCTCGTCATGAAATACCAATACTTCGAATAAATACGGATCATATTGGTAATAATGCTTTCTTTTCAACCACAATGAATCGATCACTTGCATTATTTTATACGGGTCCTGGAGAGCTTACCCATGAATTGCAAAGTGTATTATTTGAAATTGAATTGAATGTTCACGATGAATCATATCTTCCATTTGCTGATATTTCACATCTAAGTTCATTTCCGAATGAATCCGAAATATTGTTTATGATTGGTACACAATTCATGTTAAGTACTGTAAATGATCAATTAGATTATGACAATACAGAACGGATATGGAAGATAAAATTAAAAGTTCGTCCTAATGATCGTATCCAAGATTTTAAAAATCTTGAAAGCTCGACTCAACGGAAAACATTGAAAAATTGTGTCAATATAATTTTAAGTCATCACTTTGTTATTCTAATTGAGTCGTTTAATGATGTGAGACCAATATTTCGAAAACTCATTCAATATTTTCCACGAACAAAACTGGATTTCAGCGATTGAAAACCACTGTCTTGCACGCTATGAATTTTTTAAACAAAAAAATCATGCGGAAGCATTATTAGCCTACGAACAGGCTCTAAGCTTTTGGCTCAAATATCACGAGAGTATCAGTGATAATGATGATGAGCTTCTATGCATGAATGATATTGGCCATATTCATAAAGAAATTGGTTTTTATTATAAATACATCCGTAAGGATAATAAACTTGCAAATAAATATTATGATTTGGTCATCGAGTTCTATAAATCAGCAGTGCAAAACAGATCGTCTGCTACTCTTAATGGCGACGACGAAATGATAAACGTGTTCTATTATATCGCTGACATTTATGGTAAATACAAGTTAAAAGTTAGTCGGAACGAAAATGAAAGAACGCAAAACTATTTATTAGCTATTGAAAATCTTGAAAAGAATATTTACGATCTCGAGAGACTGAATGCTATCAACAAGACTGGCGTGGCTGATCGTCGAAAATACTTAGCTTCACTATACGAATCAACCTCTACACATGATAAAGCTTTATGCAATTTCGATTGCGCATTGGAACTTTATCGAGAGAACCATCAGCATTCAAACGCAAATTTTAATAAAATTTATGAAATCTATGACAAGATAATTAGTATCTATAGTGAAAAAGAAGAGCAAGATTACAACAACATATTAAAATACCAGTTAATAAGACATGAATATTTGATTGCAGAAAATAGTTTGGAAGCGAATAATGATGATAAAATAAGAATGATTGACAACAGTTATGATAATTTATCATTTACTTACAAAGCATTAAATCAATTAGATTTGGCAAATCAAAGTTCCAAATTGGTATCACAACTACATTCAAATACTAATCAATCAGACGAAAGAGATGAAACAAATACTGACAATTAAAGTCATGGAAGCAAATTTGTATAAAAACAGAATAAACTAAGGATGAAAGACATATTGTGGCATCTTGTATATAGATTGGTTGCTTACCTTATCATGAAAATGTCAAGCAGGGGTGTGGGTGTGGGTATGGGTGTGGGTATGGGTATCGATCTTTTGTCAAATAACACTCCCACATCCACACCCACACCCTGTTTTTGCTCGTTGTTTTGTAGTTTCATAATACAATCATATTTTAAAAAACTGAATTACACTCAATAACCTGAATCCGATTCATTTTTTCGTCGAATCGATCATACTTTCTTGTGGAGTCTTCAATGTACTCAGTATAATAATTATATAACAATAAGCACGTCGAATCTTCGCTTTAGTTCAAGTAAAACTTATTGAGCTTATCGTCATTGTAAAACGTTCACATACTCAATTCGATTAAAAAAATGTCAGTTTATGTACATGGTAGTTTTATCTATTATATTTCGAAAAGGTCCAATCGATCGAATCTCTATTTATCCTAGGGAAAAAGGTACATACAAAAATAAGATGCTCATTTACTTGTTAGTCATAATTGATGGTAGCCTGGTTTATATTGATACGTATCATGTACCCTCCCTCTATAAGGGTGTGGGTGGGTAGGTGTTGATGAAGAGAAGACTATCATCCATATTTACTCATACCAACACCCACATGCATACCCACACTCACACCCACACCCCACACCCACCCACACCCTCGCTCTTATTTTATTTTACGATTAATCTTCATATCAAGGAGTTTTTTTTATAGAAAAAAAGAGTAGCTGAGAAAGTCGTTGATGCATAAAACACAAAGAAATAAAACATTTTGAAAAATAAGTACAGAAAAGAAGATATGTTGAAGGAACCACTTGAACTCACGTAGTCCAAATATCGAGAGAAAAAAACCATATGAAGATCTGCTTTCACATCTAGCAAGAGATGAAACATTTACTCGTATAATATGACCATATCAAGCTAATATTCGTTATGTGAGGATGTATCAAAGAAAAATGTGAACAGAAAACCAATTATTGTTTAATGACTTTTTGAAGATTCCACATTTTTTCGTTGAATCAAAACTTATTCGACATTTCTCTTTCAACAGTGCTTTTGTTTGGCCTTTGATACGTTTAATCGATGAAGTGATTATATTTTATCACTAAAAGTCACAAACATAAAAACAAAAAAAATCATCTTTTCTTCTTTTATAGTTTTATCTGCTTATGAAAACGCAAGTAGTCTTTTATACTGAGTTATTATTTTCTCTAAACGACGATGGTTGACGCAAGGTTTGTAGATGTTTATGTTTTTTCATAGCAAATATTTCGCTACAAAAACGACTGTAAATCTTTAATTAACATTCTCTCTTTTCTTATGTGAAAAAAGTATATTTATAATTTCAAGCAAAACAATTCGTTAATCATGTGATTTAATATAAATTGTTTTTTTGTTGTTGTTTCAATAAAATATAGACGGATAACAATTGTATTAGCTGCTTTGCTATTTATATTCTTTGTTTTGACTATTGTATTTGTCACTTTATATGGAGTTGAAAGAAACAAAAGTTCGACTCCTACAATAACAACTACGGGTATGAAATATTTCTATATTTACCTCTAAGATGCGTTTGTTTCTAGTCCAAACAGAAGAATGCGATACTCCTTATTGTATTAAAGCAGGTTAGTTATATTTTAATAAATTAGTAAGATTCATTTATTTGTAAAATATGATAGCAAATTATTTACTTGAAAGTATTGATAAAACTGCTGATCCATGTGATAACTTCTTTCAATTTGCTTGTGGAACATGGTTGAAGAAGAATCGAATACCTGATGATGGTAATTTGATATATTTTCATGTTTTCAATATGTATATGTAAATTATGTTTGTTTTAGCTGAATCTCAAAATACTTTTAACATTCTACGAATTCAACTGGATAATTACATTGTTGGTAAATATATATAATAGAATAATTTTAAACTATTTGATCATAAGAGTGATTGTAATTAAATTTTATATTTCATTAATTGAGAATCTCAAAAATTTTTTCATAGAATTGTTGAATAAACATGATAGTGGAGTTCAGTCATACTCGCGCATTCGATCTATGAACGTGTCTAAATAAGGATTCATTAATTTAGATTGATACTTATACATTTAATTATTTTCTTCAAACATAATTTTCTACTTCTGTTGTTTACCACAATGATTATTTAACTATTTTAGAACACATCATATTTTATAACTCACTATAAAATACCGAATAGGGTTTTGCAATTTAAGAATATTAATGCACTTACAGAGTTTCAAGATGATGATCTTAAATAGTAATAGGAACCCATAAAATAGATTGTATTCTTTAATGAGCACTATCAAAAATTAAATCCGATAATATGATTTTCAAGGTTCTTTTTTTTTAATCAAAACTCAGTTATGAAATGACTATTCTAACCTTTTGGTACCGTGCGAGGGCAAATTTTTGGCATGATAGATTACGCCTAAAAATTTCGTGTCATAGCTTGTCAGATTCTAAACTTTTCAGAAATTTAATTGATTTAAATCGGTAGTTATGTTAGAAATTTGAATAAAATAGTAAATATAAATTCAATGAAAATCAAATTGTTTTTTCCTTACATCGACTGATAGACAAAACTAGAGCAATCTTTATCATTTCACCAAGTATATATTAAAACAAGAATGACATTAAATCGATTATTTTATTTCTTATTACATGTAAAAATATCTCTGTCGATAAGAGGCGAAAGTCAATTGTCATAATACGGTTAAGGTTAAAATCTTGGCACTATGTCTTAGTTTAAAGTCATGTGTGAAACTACAAAAGAGTAACTTAGTTTGATTATATTACGTTATAGTCGATACATTTAACTTACGTATTAACAGAAAATAAATTAAATATTTTATTGATATAGTTCATCATAGACAGCAATGATTTTTATTATCGAAAAAAAAAGAAATGAATTTTCACTTGATACAAAAGTAAAGAAAAAATGTACGATATTATGTTTCTATACTTGAAAACTGTTTCATAAACTAAATGTAGGTTCGTAAAAAGAGATTATAGATAACTCGGAAATATTTTTTCTTTACTGTAAACTTGTTAGTAGAAATCTTGATATCTGCTTCCTTTCACAGAAATGAAATAATGAACATTGAGAATAAATCTACTACTAAATAGCATCTTCCAATATACATGTTTAGATATGTTAACTTCACCGATTCCTGCCGACTTAAATAATCTTCAATCTGTAATTAATGCTCGTCGTTTTTATGAGACCTGCATAAATGAAACGGTGATAGAATCCGAATCTATCAATGTAATTCTGAGTATCGTCAATGATCTCGGTGGATGGCCAATCTTACAAGGTTCATCATGGAATGAAACATCATTTAATCTTACAAATTTATTAATTCGATTACGTGAATATGGTTACAATATGATATATGGTTTTGGTACATCAAATGATGATAAAAATTCTTCAACTAATTTTATTCGAGTATTTAATCAATCATGATAATATTTGAATGTGTGAATATTTTTTTTTTCTTTTTCTATGAATAGGTTTACCAAAGTGATATTGCTCTTGCACAACGATCAAATTATCTTAATGAAACAAAAGTTACCAGATCTTACAGACAGTTTATTCAAGATGTAGCTTCAGCGCTAGCAATTGGTAGAATAGTAAATTCTAGTGAAGTTGACGATATTTATAATTTTGAAAAACTTATTTCAACTGTAAACAAACATTTGTGTTTTCTTTTCTTTTCTTTTACAAATTAAACAAATGATAATCTTTAGTTTCATTGGACACCAGCTGAACAACGTGCTAGACAAAATGAAACAATTCGTACAACAGTTGGAAATCTTTCACAAATATTTAATACAAGTGTAAGTATTCATTTTTATGTTTGTTTATAAAATATTGTTTAGTTTTTTTTATCTTTCGTGAATTTAGTTTGGATTTACGAATTATATTCAACATATATATTCTTTATCAAATATTCCTTTATATGATAATGATATTGTATCAGTTAGTGAACTTGAATTTTTACGTAATGCATCATCGATTATTGATTCATCTTCGCGACGTGTACTACAAAATTATATTATATGGCGTTTTATTATGAGCAGAATAACAGATATGCCTAAACGTTATCGAGCTCTAAAGGATCCATTTGATGAAGCTTATCGAGGCACTTTTGCTCAACGTCCACGTTCAATAACATGTGGAAGTTATATTAATAGTAATATGGGTTTTGCTCTTTCAAAAATTTATATTAAACAATATTTTGATGAAAGCGCGAAACAGCAGGTATTGTATTTAACTCTTTAAAAATATCGCAAGCAAACTAGATTAATTTGTTTAATTTGCGAATAGACTCCTTGAGATTTAAATATTGTACGAAGGAAAACCAAGAGTAATGGAATCAACGATATTTTTTCCTTTTCATTCCAAACGAATATAATAAAATATTTTTTCATATTAGTTTTACATCTTCACTATAAGTAGTACTAACAATATCTGTCTAGATGACTTGCATGATGCAGATTCATCGTACATTCTATACATATGAAACAACTGCAAGAGCAGACACATATCTTAGTTTACACTTTGTACTATCTAACAGTTGATTCCTGCCAAATAGCCTCTCCTAAATTTTACAGGTTTATTATGAAACTAGTTGTATTGAGATTTATAGACTCCTATAGATGAGTACTCAAATCAGCTAGTCATCTCTATTGTCTAATGCATTTAGTATGTAGAAATAAGATTAATGGAAAATTTACCTTCTACAAAATGCACGCTGACAATAAAATTACTTCAATTACTCTATCAACTTCGGGTACTGAATTATAATCAATTTTTCATTAAAGTTTCGAATTTTCAAACAAAAGTTATTAGCATGATACACAATATACATAAAATTTAGATATTCAATAATAAGACAATCAAATATTCATTCTTCGTGAAATTTTCATGACGTCCTTGGAATCATTAGTTTATTCGAGAGCGTTTCAACTCGTCACGTGACGAGTTGAACAAATTGCAAAAATCACACCTTTCGTAACACCAAAAATAGGCATATTCAAAAATGCAGGGATGTCGTAACGAAATTTACAGGGCGATCGTAACGATTGATACAGGGAGTTCGTAACGGTTGCAGAGCTTTCACAACGAAGCAACAGGGTTTTCGTAATGAAATATATGTTACTCGTACGTCATTTACGAATAGAAATTACATGGGTTTCGTAACGAATTGTACAGGGCTTTCGTAACGGCTAAAATAGACTTTCTCATGGTATATTTCAAAGGAGATGTAGGCTGTCAAATCAGGGCTGTCGTAACAAATTTTACAGGGAAGACGTAACTGTTCATACAGGGTTGTCGTACCGGAAAAGCAGAGTGTATGTGAGTTAGATGTACAGGAGTATCATAATGAAATATCAGGGCTGTCGTAACCAATCGTCTGGTCTCGAAATACGAAGAAAAGATTTTTTGAAGATTAAGATTTTCGACTTATTTTGCTTACTTTACTTAATCAAGCAAGGGTATGGGTGGGTGTGGATGTGGGTGGGTGTGGGTGAGTGTGGGTGTGGGTGTGGGTGTGGGTGCGTGGGGTGAGGGTGTGGGGTGTGGGGTGTGGGGATGGGCGTTGGGGTGTGGGTGTGGGTGTGGATGTCTACAAAAAGAAAATGACACCAACAATCACACCCACACCCACACCCTAACGGTTACGATAGTCCTGTACTTTTCGTTACGACAGCCCTGTATTGTCACTCGTACTTTTAAGCTAAGTGCATTACGAAAGCCCTGAATGAGAAGTTACGATAACCCTGAAAAATTCTTTACGAAAGGTCTGTAATTGATGGCATTATTTTCTAAAATAGCACATATCAAACCACTAGTTACGATCACCCTGTAAAATTCGTTACGAAACCCATGAAATTTTGTTACGAAAGGTCTGATTCTGCCGTTACGAAAGCTCTGTTACGGGCTTTCGTACTGTCAATTCGTTACGAAAGCCAGAAAACAAAAATCGTGACGAGTTGAAATGCTCCCGTTTATTCGTATGCTAAATTTTGTCAAAAACTAACAGAAATGAACAGTTCTAGATTTCTATTCCATAATACGGAATTCATTCATTGATTTCTTTTTTATATTTTATGAGTCATTAGAAATGATCAATAATATTCGAAGCGCTTTTCTTAGTATGCTGAAAAATTCATCTTGGATGGATGAAATTTCAAAAAACAAATCAATAGAAAAAGTAAATTGAAAAATAAACTCTTTCATAACTTTCATTATATTTGAAGGCATTGGCTATTGATGAAAAAATTGGTTACCCAGATTTTTTAGGCAGTGATAATACAACACAACTCGAAAAAATGTATCAAGAGGTAATGATGAATGATGGTTTCTAATCTTTCATATTTTTGTTTTAGTATATTTTCAATGAATCATATATAAGTAATGTTTTAAAATTATTAAAAATAAAAGCCAATGAAAATCTTCGAATGCTTCGTGAACTTGTTGATCGTAAAGCATGGGGTGCTAGTCCACCAACTATAGTCAACGCTTTTTACAGTCCACCAAGAAACCAAATCAGTAAATAGAATTCTTGTTTTGTTTTCAAATAAGAATCCGATAGTCAAATAAAATATTTTCTTCATGTTATGTAGTGTATCTTTGACGCATTATTCCAGGATGCATTAATATTAGATAGTTGAGAATAATATAACTATGTATATACTATAATAGAAAATCGACTAAAAATTTAGATATCACATATTATTTGGTAGGAAATCAAGACATTTGATTACTAGTAAAGGTAAGGATTGTGAAATATTTGTAGTTCAGCAAATTCTTCTGCCATCTTTTGGAATAACCTTATCTATAAACAGTGTATTTTTAAAGATTTTTCTTACGATAATTGACTTTATTGATTTTTTCATGAGAGCCCTTTATTAGTATTTCCTTCTCTTATGTATATCTCACTGAAGCATTTCAATCCAAAAATGGAGAAAAATGTGAGGAACTTAGTAATCGAAGCCTCATAATCGGATCAATACTGTTTAATACCGAAGTTTATTTCGTTGATCATTATGTAATCAGACTTTGTTGCTAAAGTTTTTTTATAAAAAATTAAAAATAATTTTCTCTGTGTTTAGTTTTTCCAGCTGGTATTCTACAAATGCCATTTTTCAATAAAGATGCACCGAAGTCAGTTTTGTTTTGTTCATATCTCTTTTAAAATGAAACTAGAATTATTTATGATTTTTAGATATTTGAATTATGGTGGTAAGTTTCAATAACGTAAAATGATATCATGCCACATAAGATTTTAGCTATCGGAGTGGTTATTGGTCATGAAATTACTCATGGTTTTGATGATAGTGGTCGTCAATATGATAAAGATGGAAATCGTATTTCCTGGTGGACTGATGATACTATTAAAAAATTTAATGAACGTAAGCAATGTATAATCGATCAATATAGTAACTATGTTGTAACTCAAATTAATAGGACCGTAATGTTTAAAAGAAACTGTTTTCGTACATTTGACGCTTGCTTTTCTTTTCTAAACTTTAGTTGAATGGATTTCAAACACAAGGTGAAAATATTGCTGATAATGGTGGAATAAAAGAATCATTTTATGTAAGTTTTATTTTAAATTTATTTAGAAAAACTGAAGTAAAAGCAAAGTATCATTGGCAAAAAATTTTAAAAAGTCTACCTAACATAACAAACTATTGAAATGAACAAGTTTTTCTCATGTACAATTGATCTAAAATAACACACTAACATGATTATGCGATTGATGATTGTCAATAAACAAAAAGATTGTTTTTAAATAGCTTTTATGCGCATACACGTATATATGTATATATATTTATAGCTTATCAAAACTGGATTCGAACGCATCCAAATGAAGATAAAAAATTATCTGGTCTATCTGAGTATTCAGCAGAACAAATGTTTTTTATTAATTATGGACAGATTTGGTGTTCGAAAATGACTGATGCTAATGCATTGAATAGAATTTTAACAGGTGTTCATTCACCGGGAGAATTCAGGTATATTCTATTTATGATAGAAAACATAAGAAAATCAATAGATAACAGAATTTCGTATCCGAAAGAGTATTTATTAAATTAGAAGAAAACATTTGAGTACTAGATCTCTTGAACAACAAGACTCCAGAAATCAGTTTTTGGAATTCGATGATCAAAGTTCATATTGTGGAAAGAACCTTCTCTAAATAAAGACGTAGCAAACGTTTCATAATTCGATTTCAATGATACCCATTTCATCAAATTCAAAATTCTGATCATACTATTGTAGAGTTCGTGGTCCAACATCAAACTTTGATGAATTCGATCGGGCATTTCAATGTTCACCTGGGCAAAACAACAAGAGTCAAAATCCCAAATGTGCTGTTTGGTAATTGATAACAATAACATTGAACAACACAGAATCTATTCATATTCATGCCTGACTTTACACGAAAATAGATCACGATTTTTTAGTAATGAAAACAGTTTTGTTCCTTTTTTGTTTTACTGATTCTCTCACAAAGAAGACATAATAAACAGTGAACAAGAAAAATTAAAAACCGAAGTCGATCATTTTTCAAATTATTTAACGATTTAGTAGTCTATTGGTAATAAATGAAAGGCGTTCTCTTACAAGAATAAAGTAATCGTTATTAATTAGGAAGAAAATAACATATCGATCAGCCCGAATATGAAACGAATAAAATAATATTCTATTGATTACTACATGGTTTCTCACATTTTACTTTATAAAGGCAATTGAAGAAATAAAAAAAGTGTTGGGTGTGAGTGTGGGTGGGTGTGGGCGTGAGTGTGGGTGGGTGTGGGTGTGGGTTGGGTGTGGGTGTGTGGATGTGGGTGTGGTTAGAATATACGATGAGATAGTATGGATACTCACAGCGAAGCCCTCACACTCACACTCTCACACCCACACCCCACCCACACCCACACCCTCGAGAGCGCTCATTCAGATTTGTTTTCTTTTCTTCAATGATTGCTACATTTTTCTTCGACTACTCGAATTGCGCAGAGCAGATACACTTCTATCATCTGTTCAGTGTTGAAGTAAATAAATGGAAATAAAAGAGAGAAAATAAAACTTTTCTTCTACCCTTGTTACATACTTTTTTTCTTTTATGTTCTCCATGATTATCGGAAAGTAGCACGTAACTTTCTGATGATTTATTGTTGGTATGTTAAAAACTGAAAAGTCATGGATCATAGTAAGATTGAATAGAAGAATAACAACATTGGTTCAATTTATACACGATAGAAAAAGAAAAATGACGATACTTTTCTTGAAATTAACTGTCTGCAAAAAGTCTTTCCAAAAACTAAACATCGCAGAATGCATACCATTTGCTACATTTTTATTTCTCTATGTGATCTTGCTTGAAGATTTAGAAGCTCTCTGCTTATTGGTATGAAAGAAAAGAATAAACTAAGATGTAGGCGTGGGCTACATTAGGTATGTGTCTTCCTTCTTTTCATCTACACTCACAATTCTGTTTCATAAACAAGCAAATGAATAATTTTTTGTAAATCAATTCAATATTCATTTGTGTTGAAATATTATCAGTTCTTCAAATATTACTTTGCTAACAGAAGTTCTTTTATGAAGTGAAAGTAAATGTATATATAAAAGTCGATTCTTATCTTACATAATATGCTATAATTTTATTTATAGCCACCTGGAGATAGATATCTTTTCAAATATGACGACCATCTGTAACAAAATTATATGCGTCATGTATATGAGTAAACAGCAGTTTTCTCTTAATTGCTAAGGTAGATTCACCCTTAGGCGATATATGCTCAGTAATTAAACAGACGTAATGTGTTATTGCTTCCTCATTAGAATCTTATATATTTTCATGAAAAAAACCTTACATGTTAGAATCGTACTATCGAATAGACATGTATAGTTATAAAGCGAATAAACGATTGTTACGTGATGGCATTGAAAAATGGTTTGAAGATGGAGAAACAGGTGAACGTTTATATAAAATATCCACTAAGAGCAAGTTTCGTATTTCTGAGAATCTTATTGTTCAATTTCGTCTCTCAGATACACATGGCAGAGAACTGATGCGTGCCAAGAAAAGCGATTATGCATTTAATATATTTTGCAATTCTACTGGAGACCAACTGGCACGCATAAACTATGCTAAACCGGGTTATATCACTATCAATACGCTCTCCAATGGATCTTATTATGTTAGCGATATAAAAAGTGGTCTATTTTTGTCCAGATCAGACAAATTTACAATCTTTCATCAAAATGGTCGTCCGGTGATCATAAAGAGAGGTTCTCACGTTTTTGTTGATATGAACGAAAATCAATTATTAGCTTTGATGATTTATACAATCGCTGATTTCTGGCTGTTTGTAACTGAATGGACGATTGGAATAACGACACTTCGGTCAAAGGGATTCGATACCCCAGTAGCAAATGATGGTCCTAGTATTGATACAGGATATTCTGCAATGGGCAATTTTTGTGATATGAGCTGCTGTGGAAATAACAATAACGGAGGATGTGGAACTTGTTGTGATGGCGGAGGCTTTGGAGGAGGATGTTGTTGAGTTTTGGCAATCTTTTAAGAGAAGGCCCATGACAGCACCAAGGATCTGAAGCACTCGTCAAAACTTAAATTTTTGATCTTTTATGTGCATTCGAAAGGGCAACGTCTGAAACTAATAAACCTAATTTTTTAGCTCATTTGAACATTTTATAGTAAAGTTAGCCTGGATCGACTTTTAGCACCGTCTACATAGTATCAAGAAAAACAATGATGAATCATCTCATAAATGTCTGCTAGTATTACACTACAAGGAATAAGACAATTGTTTCATGTTATATACCAAATGATAGAGTATGGATAGATGGCACAAATGAGCTGTCTGAAATATTGTATATCATTCCTTTATTGGGCTAACATGACTGAAAAAGGTAACAGATTACTAGTCTATGGGTGTGGGGTGTGGGTGTGGGTGGGGTTGGGTGTGGGTGTGAGTGTGGGTGGGTGTGTGGGTGTTGATGTGGGTGGTGGGTGGATGTGGGTGGGGGTGGTGTGTCGGTGTGGGTGAGGTTGGGTGTGGGTGTGGGTGCGTGTGGGTGTGGGGGTGGGTGTGGGTGTGGGTGCGGATGTGGGTGTGGCTGTTGGTACAGGTGCAAAGAAGACTCACACCCATACCCATACCCACCCACACCCACATCCACCCACACCCACACTCTAAAAAAAATAGGTATTCTCGAAAACCCTTAGAGGGTTTCCGAGTTTGTTACTATGGGAAACCCTTTAAGAGTTTCCGAAGAAGGGTTTCCGAGACCTCGGAAACCCATAGTACCAATTATAGCTAAACCTCAAATGCCTCTTTGGAAACCCAAAGAAAAGATTTCCGAATGCGGTTAAAGCTCTACCAAACTAGCCTAGACAGAAATCCATCACTTCTCTGCCGGCAGCAACAGGCATTCACAGCGGCCACAAACATTCAATGAGGTTCTGCTGTGAATCTATTCGCACCAAGAAATAATTAGAACAGACATTAAAGGTCAGCAACACACGGAATTTAAAGAAAAACTTTAATTATTCAGATGCACTTCGTCGCACCATTACCAAACCATCAAGAAGCTAAATATAACGGCCTTCTCCATCTAAAAAATGAACAAAAGAAACAATTTTTCATCGAAAATCATCTAAACTTACCCGTTTTCTTCACATTCAACCACATCCAAACTAATTAGCACCCTTTCGCATGTAAAACATAATTCAACCAAAATAGTTAATGAACGAATTTCATAGCTCATCAAACATTACCCTACGATAATCATCTAAAAATAAAAAGAAAATTATATTTTAATTTACTAAATTGATTCAAACTCACCCGACCTATTGCGAGAAAACAATTCTAAGGATGAAAATAAAATTTCATTTTCGTACAATAATTTGAACAAACTTTCCATATATACTAATATATAAAGCGAATCTACAAATAAAAATGAAACTGTTTTTTAATTTTAAAGAATTTTTGTCCAACTCACCAGATCTATGAATATAAAACGAATCTAAAAATGAAAATAGAATTGTATTTTTATTTAATGCATTGATTCAGACTCACAGAATATATCGATATCACACGAGTCTAAAAATAAAAATGACACTTTAATTTAGAAAATTGATTCAAACTTACCAAATCGATCGATATTAAATGAATCTAAAAATAAAAATAAAATCTCATGTTCATGTTGTAATTGGAGTAAACTCACCAGATATATTGAGATATAAAACGAATCTAAATGTAAAAGCGAAACTTCATTTCCATTTAGTAATTGAAATAAACTTACATGATGTATTGAAATATAAAACGAAGATAAAAATAAAATAAAATATTATTTTAATTTAATAAATTGTTTGAAACTTATCGGATCTACCAATATCGCATGAATCCAAAAACTGAAAATAAAATTGTATTTTTATTTTATTCATCGATTCAAACTCCCTGAATCTATTGACAGACAGCGAATCTGAAAGTAAAAATGAACTTTCATTCTTATTTAGTAATTGCAATGAACTCACCCGACATATTGAGTTATAAAATGAATCTAAAATCAAAAACAAAATTTCATTTTAATTTGATAAATTGATTCAATCTCACTAGATCTATCGATATCCCACGAATCTAAAAATAAAAATAGAATTTCATTTTCATTTAGTAATTGGAATAAACTCACCGGATATATTAATAAATACGGATCGAATCTCCAGACAAAAGTTAAAGATTGTATTTTTATTTAATAAATTGAATTAATTCACACTTCTTTTCGATTTTCGAAACAAATCGATGAATTAAGATGAAATTGTATTTTAATTTAATATTTGGAATAAACTTACGGGATATATGGCTATCTAAAACGAATCTAAAAAGTAAAAGTGAAAATATGTTTTAATTTAATTAGTTGATTAGAACTCACCGAATTCCAGAGCCATGTTATGATAGAAAAAGAAAAATTAGGAAAGTGTTGTATTCATGAAATTAAATAAACACCCTGAATAGATAGAGAAAATGTAGTATTGAAAAGTATAAATGGTAAGTTAGAAATACTTTATGAAATCATTTAAAACAACTCATCTACCTGTTGAGATGATTAGATATGTAAGAAAAAAAAACATTTCATATAACATCGAATGAATTATAGAATTCATCGAGATGAATTTACGACTGAAAGCATAAGAATAGTAAGCTTTCGAACGAGGTATGAAATGAAGGTACGATATTTCCTAAAGTGAAACAGATTTTCCAGTTGATCATTAATATGATCTTAGATTATTGAAATCGAAGAGAATGAGATGGCTACTCAGATAGAGTTGATTGATAAAGCGGAGGAATTAATGTAGAAGCTTTTGATCAATATAATATGTTTCATCAGGATTTTGCTCAAGTGAAAATGATTCTATATAAGAAAATCTTTGCTTTTGAGCGTGCTTGTAGGGAAAAGTATCGTTAGTGAAGCGTTTTCTACTCATTATAGAGACGTTATTCGATAGATATGCAATCAGAAATAAAAAATGTGAAACACGA